CGGAGGTCTGGCGGGGTCAGCTTTGGCGGACCTCGATCGATAGACCCTTGTGTGGGTGACCTGACCCTTGTGTGGGTGACCTGACCCTTGTGTGGGTGACCTGACCCTTGTGTGGGTGACCTGACCCTTGTGTGGGTGACCGGACCCTTGTGTGGGTGACCTGACCTTTGTGTGGGTGACCTGACCTTGTGTGAGTGACCTGACCCTTGTGGGTGACCTGACCCTTGTGTGGGTGACCTGACCCTTGTGTGGATGACCTGACCCTTGTGTGGGTTACCTGAACCTTGTGTTGGTAACCTGACCCTTGTGTTGGTGACCTGACCCTTGTATGGGTGACCTGACCCTTGTGTGGGTGACCTGACCCTTGTGTGGGTGACCTGACCCTTGTGTTGGTGACAGGAAGAGAAGTGACGTTGTCACTTGAGAAGTGACGTCCTGAGGAAGAGAAGTGACGTTGTATTTTATACTTTCACTCAATAATTGCTTAAGTTCTGCCGTCCATGTTCTCTGGTGTCGGGTTTCACTCGTTTTTGTAGCAACATCAAACGTTCGAAGTGCAATCACATGAATATTCGAGGTTCGTAACGGTTATAGTTGCCTGGGTGACGTGGTTATGAAGCACGCTTGCGTGACTGCGTTCATAAACTGGCTGTGTTAGGTGCTTTTAGGACATTTTAGTTTGCGCGCAACTGCGAGGCGCTCGTATAGAGCGACGGTGACCTTCGCAAGTGGCGTTACAATGAAGCTGTTACCAGCGAATGCAGCCTTGCCGGCCGCGAGCCTCATCCACTCTCGCTGANTCTCGGCGCTGATATCAAGAGCATTGTGCGCGTTCTCGGCGCTGATATCAAGAGCATTGTGCGCGTTCTCGGCGCTGATATCAAGAGCATTGTGCGCGTTCTCGGCGCTGATATCAAGAGCATTGTGCGCGTTCTCGGCGCTGATATCAAGAGCATTGTGCGCGTTCTCGGCGCTGATATCAAGAGCATTGTGCGCGTTCTCGGCGCTGATATCAAGAGCATTGTGCGCGTTCTCGGCGCTGATATCAAGAGCATTGTGCGCGTTCTCGGCGCTGATATCAAGAGCATTGTGCGCGTTCTCGGCGCTGATATCAAGAGCATTGTGCGCGTTCTCGGCGCTGATATCAAGAGCATTGTGCGCGTTCTCGGCGCTGATATCAAGAGCATTGTGCGCGTTATCGGCGCTGATTCTAAAAGCATTGTACGCTTGACGCGATGAAGTGGCACGCAGTATTGACCGTCATCTACACGTGCACAAACAAGCGAGACGAGCAGCAGAGCGCCTGCCATGGGGTGCCTGCCGTCGCGTGGCAGCGAGCGCTGTGTTCGGCCTGTCGATGGCAACGAAGGCGGTCACTGGGCCGAGGACGGCTCCGGAGCTAAAGGTCGCGTCTTCTGAGGGCCTCCAACTGCCGCTCTTTACGTACAATTAGCTCGACGTTGAAGTCGTTTCGAATAATAGAGCTGCTAAAATTATACGTGAAGCTTTACCTGTAAGTTACCTGTAATCGGGTCTGTTTGAAATTATGTCAGAGATGATAGCAATTTGAGTAAGAAACATACGGTTCTGCTTCGTTTGATCTGCATTTGTTAGATAGACGAGTAATATGAGAGAATGTTTCTTCTGAGAATTCTTATATTTTAACACTGGTTGCTCTTTCCGTAGATTTATATTGAGATCCATCCATTTTGAAGCTGCTATTATTCTCCCCAAACTTTATATATCTGATGAAAATCTTACTTCGACGAAATTTGTGGACGATTTAATCCTATTAAGTTCAAAACTTTGTTTAATTTTTGAATTCTTGGACAGTGTTCGATATATTATGATGGAAAAATGTCGAGACAAATGCAGTGAATTTTATAAATCAGCTGAAGTCATATCATGAAAATGGCTGCTTGTTTAATCAATTGTTTTAGGTTTCATAAATTTCGCATAGTAAGGATGATAGATTAGCTTACTAATCAACTAGAGCCTACTGGGTATTTCTTGGACTGCTGGTGTGTGTCGGGTGTTTCTGTTGTGTCTGATGCACATTGTACAGTTTTAATTTTACCCCAGGGTCGACAATGAGTTTGAGCGGCACAAATTATTCTAGGTTCGCGAAGTGCAAATGTCTTTCCACGACGTGTGATAAATTTGTGATTTGCCTGGCGTGTCTGTCCAAGTTTACGAATCATGCTTCAGTGTCCTACGGTTTGTATTGAGCAAGTTTGAGTGTCTATAAATTTCAGTAACAAATATCGATGAATTTATTAAAGCTGGAAAAAAGTATAAAAAAAATCCGTAATTGGGTTATAATCATTTGTCGGTGTTTGTTCAGCTTGGTTGAATTTGACATTTTTGTCATTGCTTAATCTAGGCTTACTGATTTCTAATCGTTGTTAATCCGCCAATTTTTTCTAGGAGCTAAAAATCCTGGCTTGATTCGAAATTCCTCTTACCACTTGTATGATTTCCGGTATATATGAATTTTTAAGTGCTTTCATCGCACTTTCTTTACATTTAAATCGTTCCGTATAATGGTGGTGTCATATATATGATTTAAACATGTTTTTGCCTTACTTAAATTTTAAAATCCGCAAGCTTTCATGTATTAAGCTAGTCTCGTATGCTAGTTGCAAGAGTAATAGTCTGGTCACACGAACTCTTGGCAGGGGTCGAGTTGTCGACAATATCGCTAGGCAACCTGAGAACCTTGACCGAATATAAAGCCTGTGAGGTCACAGCGAGTGCATATCTACAGCTAACGGTGCTATACCTTCTATACCCGAGACGGATCGAAGTGAGTTCATCGACTAAGAAATACTCACTACTCGATTTACTCGAGTTTTTGATTGCAAGTACAAGTAACTGCAATCATGTCTCTGTCTCATTCCAGTCGATGAATTGCTTTCACTTGCGGGGACAATAATCCCGGGATCATTAGTTAAAAATCGATTTCGGTTATGATTATTTTGCAAGATTGCATAGAGCTGGCCGCTTAAAAAAGGACATATGGACAGTAAACCATCGTCAACGATATTATGGTATGTTCGGTACTTCCGGCCGTCTATAAAACTTTAATGGGCCCAGGCTTATTACGCAAGATTGAGTGTCCAGCGATGTTGCCGAGCATTGGAGTGCATTGCACTGCAGCATGAGAGTGCATTGCACTGCAGCGTGAGAGTGCATTGCACTGCAGCATGAGAGTGCATTGCACTGTCTGCCCTGACATTCGCTGACATTAGGATCTAACTCACCGTGCCCTTTAGGCTCTGAACTGTTGCGTCGCGAGTTCCCGTATCTATCATTCGTCATGGGTCCGTGATTAAGAATTCAGTTGTTCCATTCTGGGTCGAACGACATGTACTCGACATGTGAAAGAAGATTCAGGTGGTGTTATCTTGCCCTACAAACCCGGAACTAAAGCTCTGTAAGTTGTTATTGAGGAGCAAGCTGTTCTAAGCTCAAATCGCTTAGCAATAACTTCATTTCTGAGGAATTTTTTTTGGAAGGGATCCTGTAGTTGCTGACTATGTTCTCGGTGTTGTGATTTCCTTCGTTTGTTTCTGCGTCCCGATGACGGTCATATTAAATTTAAATTTTTGTCGCTGGTGTGGTTCGAGTTAATATTTCATGGAAATCGAGATCATTATAATACTATATATACGACTAATAAGAACGAGCTTCAAGTTATTGTGCAGTCAAATCCGCGCGTTTGCGCTCACATAAGCATTAACTGCCCTTCCATTATAGGGAGTTAATTTTATTAAATTGTAGAATTATTAAAAATCTAAAGTTGATCAATTATTTCAGACGTGATGGCCGCGACGAGAGTCGCTGTCTGACGCAGCCTCACCTCATCGTTACGTTGGCATGTGCGTATTTGGGCCAGGCTTCCATGTCTTCACGTTGTAAATTCTGAGAATATTTATGCATTAATGAAACTTGGATTGCTTTTTTGTCGGTACTTAATAGGTCGCTAAGTGTATTTTTAACTTTAAGTCATGAAAAATTTGTGAATGTTATGTACAACTCCTTATGTTTACGAAGTCCCAAACGTGAATTCTGTTACTCGTAATTTTTCGCGCGATAAATTTTGTGGCATTGTATTTCAATACTAAAAGTTTCGTATTACGTCGTGCAGGTGGCGCTGGTGTGCGCTAGATGGCCTCAGAACCTGGGCCCTCCTCCTCACCTCTTCCCCAACCTCACGTGTCCCCTCGCATCCCCAGCACGCTGCTTTATTCCTCATCCTCGAAAGACGCTCCCTTGACGTCAGAGCTGCGGCTGATCCCGTCCAACCACTCGGTGGTGTTCCCTTCTGCTGCAACTTCCTCTCTGGAAAAAGTCTCGGCGTATCAGCGCTCGCTGGTCGCTTGTGATAATAAGCAAGTTCAAGTGCATCCGTGTTCTTTGATATCGCGTAGACGCGGCCTCGTCCATCGTGGTCTTAGGAAGGTCTTGGTGATACCTGGGCGTGGTAAAGCTTTGACGAGACTCGCGTGTCGAGATAAGGAGTCGTTGTACGTAACCTGTTGTTCCAGTTTATTCATTGCGAGAAGAATTTCCACAAAAGTTCTTCGCTCGCCACTAAAACTTTGTCATTTGTGATCCGCTTGCATGAAGCGAGAACCAAGAAGAACGCAAGCGTACCGTTACAAGTTCTGCGTTCAGTCGATGACGGAAATTAATTTACATTTTGGCGTAGCTTTGATCTGATGTGCCTTCGACGTTCTCTTCATTTACAGATACTTTTTTAACGGAGTGAATATTTTAAATTGTGTCGTTTTAATTTTACTTCAAGTTTTACGGGTATTGAAATTATAGTCGCTAAATTCGAAAAGAAATTGAAACTAACTCTTTACAAAATTGAAAAAAAAGTTTGGGCCAGACATCAGAAATCGTTTCCGTTCAATGACGTGGCTTTCATTAAAAATGATCTGAAGCTTGAAAAATAGTGAGGGAATCCTAAATCCGAGCGCTAAATTTTGCCCGTCCCTAAGAAGTTTAAGATAGAATTTTCGACAAGAAAGTTGAATTCCGCTGCCATCACGGAGCCTCGCCGCTTTAATCCTCATCCCGTGAGGAAGTCCCTGGCTCCCATTGATGAAGGTTCCCCACCTCCCTCTCCTCCCGAACTCCCGGAGACGCCTAATCCCCAGAGCTCGATTTTCTCCTTCCGACGCTCAGGCCCCACGAGCAACACCGGCGTCGTCAGCGTGCAGGAATATCCAAGCCTCGACCCTGCATTTGTACCTTATTCGCCTGACGTCTACTCTGCACCGCAAGTTAGGCCAGTGACACAACTTGAACCACAATCCCTCAAGCCATCCGAGCCGCAAATAGCCGATTATTTTTCGTCTTCCGAGTTTTCGAATTTCTTCGGCAAGTCCAAACAGATTTCTGACTCTGAGAACCCAGCTCGACTTTTGTCTCCGGAGTATCCGCCTTCTAAGTTCCGGCGAAATTCCCTAGACGGACCCACAGACAACACCTCACCAGAACCTCTTCTAAACTCCACCCCGCCCACCAAACGCAAGAACTCTCAGCTTCCCCGGACCCCAAACTCTTCCCCTCCTACCAAACGCAAGAACTCCTTGCTTGCCCGATCACTGGGATCTTCGTCAAAGGTTTCTGCCTTCAAACCTCGCGACTCCAAGTCTTCTGAGCCTCCGTCGCGGTGTTGCTTCACCTGCTGCTGCGCCTCGGACCAACCAAAACCCCTTAAACCGCCTCCTGAAATGGGACCTTTAGCCAGCGATTCCAATATCGGTGAGTATTCAACGTAGTAATAACATCAGGGGCACATTGCTGAAGATTTATCCCCTTGTGTTATTATTCTTTGGGGCTCTAAATCTGGGGTATTGCGTCGGTGAGCACAATGCGCTTACAGTCTACTGTCCAACACACGGTGATAGGTATTCAAGTCAATTTTCCTTATGCTGTAAATTGTCAAAATCAGGGCCCTAAAAATAAAAATATCTGCTTGCAGTTTTGTATATGGGTTGATTTGATGAATGATCTTTGTGCAATGTGCTGCGCGGTTCAGTCGACTTGGGTTTCACTTATTTTTCAGTGTATGCTCAATGATCGTTTTCTATGAAGAAATCGAGAAGAAAATTGTCCGCAAATGAGCTACTACTAGCAAATAACTCATTTAACATCAATTTTACTAAAGGTCATTTAAATCGAAAAAATATTTATAATTGTAGTTATAGATTTTATTTCGTCTCGCATTTTATGATGCGCCATTATTGCTTTCGATTTAGGTAAGTTTGTCTCTTTCGAATTAGTTCCATTCCCTATGTTTCTTGCTTGGTACAGCAATCATCACCAATCCGTGGTAGGTGAGATACGCGATGGGGAATTAATGGACTGTTAATACTCATTGAAGTACTTATATTGCAACTGTTTGAAAAATTTTCGTTGTTTGCAAGTGTTTACGAACAACTTTTTACACTCCTGCCGATCGACTTCCTCAGAAACCGGTGAAGATCCTCGAATGATTTTTCTCATTGATATTTATGGAAAACCAGAAATATCAGTGAAGCCGCGACACTGCAAAGGATTATTGTATGTGTAAACAGGTACTCCTGCTTGTGGGAAGGTCTTAAAAAATATAACTCGGTACCACTCGCTGCAGTGAGTGAGAGTGAGCGCATTTTCTCAAAATCGACGAAAACGTGAAGGCACAGACAGACGGACAGACGGACGGACAGACATGACGAGCACAATAGCGCCTTTTTTCCATAAATGAGAAATGCGCTAAAAATGTTCTTTAACAACCAGTCTTTCTCCAAATTATATTACGCGAATAAATTATTATATTTTATATCGGATAATCGAATTAAAGATGTCTTATTTATCTATTTAAAAACAATTTCAGTATTAGAGATTGATATTTATTGAAAATTCGTTCCGACAGTCCGTCCCAAAAGTGTGCCAGCGGTGGCACTTGCTTTGTTTCAATCAACATGATGGTATCGCATCTGAACTCTCACTCAGTACTCAACTCATTCCCGCCTAGTATGCCACTAACCTAGTTTGTCAATCGAGAATGTGTGTTTACTTCATTTGAATATATAAAACGTTAACCAGTATGAGAGTGGTGAACACAAAGTTCTGTTCATGCTGTGTTGGAGTATCCCGGTATAAGTGTGAGGGCGCGCAAGGGATAAAACGTTCCGTCAGCCGTCCTCGTGCTCAGTACCTCCTGAGACGCTGTGCTGTTGTTGCGTCTCGTTCTCACTCCTCCGTGAACCGCGGATGTTTCATTGATGGCATTTCCATCGACTCCGGGTCGTCCTTTCGCCAATAATTGATCACCGACCAACGACGATCAATTGCGACCTTAAAATAAAATTCGACGACTATCGGGGCATATGGGCCCTAAAAGCGGCGGGAATCGTAACACGGCACTTGTGTACTTTTTACTGATGAGAAATTTCATTTTGTGGCAAAGCCTGCAATGCAATACTATGAGATTCCATGATTTTTCTTCGACTGTATGTTAACTGACTTTGATCTGAGTTCGTTGGAAAAGAATGCATGCAAATCACTTAGGAATCGACATATTCTGCTCCGAGTTTCTTCTCCATGTAATTGACGTGTTGCCGTCAACGTATTATTTATTTTCACGCACGTTCATTTCGATTTACTTAACCGTGCAGATGTTGAATCGTTTTCTTGCTCTTAGTTCACAAAAACCCTGAGATGTTACATTGGTACAAATTGTTTACTGTTTACGAGCTTATTTTTCTACACAGGAGTAGACTACGAAATAAAATTGCTTGTAAAGATTTATCTGGAATATAGCTAGAGCTTTTGGCCTCATGATTGAGGGAAAACTATTTAACCGAATTTTTAAGGCTTAATATATTCCCTGCTGCTCTCTTCTTGCCGAGACAGAATCGTAAGTGAGTTGAATGAGCAACCAGCAGGTAAATCACCAGCCCAGCAGCCGTCGGAATCACGATAGGCGCACAACATGCGAGCGCAACACGCCACCTCCGGCGCTCCGATCACTGCACGCTTCTATTCAAATTATTAAATGTCAAATTATTAAATGGCTTCTTGTTAGATTATAGCATAGTGAATTGGAACAAGTTCTATTGTACTACATTTTTTCAGCCAAAATAATTACTAAATTGCTTCGCTGCAATTTCTTTGTTATTCGTTGCGGCTGACTGAACGCTTCTGCACTTGTGTTCGCAATTAGTGACGTCTTCTGTCAGGCGATGATTTGCTTGGAGTTGAGCAGAGATTTTTTAACCATGTATTTTGATTTTAAAAGTGATTTTTCTTCGGGTTCTTTGAGTAATATAGATTGATCAAGCGTTGCACAGACGCCACCCTTACAACAAAATTCACTAACTATATAAAACATCTGTGGATGAGAATAGATGGTTTCACAGACAGCTTTTCCCCTATAGTGAGCGCAGTTTTTTATTCTTGAAGACATTGTTATGTCTGTGGCTTGGCATCACTACACGTCCCGAGTATCAACGTTACGTGTCGTATTCATGTTATTAGACGAGACCTCATGCATCTGCCTGCCGAGGCTGCGCTGTCTGCTCAATGTCTCGCACATTGTGTCACTCGTATCATAAATGAGCTCGCATTTAAAGCTGGGCTTTAACAGTAGATTCGTTATAATTTTGCCCAGTATAATGAAGAATTCTCTAATATATATTTACAAAAGTTTGTAAAGTTTTTCTACACGCTATGAGAGAAATACTCCTTGATGATGATGGTATATTAATTTATTTTCGAAAAGAAAATTGTGATTGACGTCAAGTTGCCGTTAACAAAATCGAACGTTGAGTCGTGCTCTCGCTCTCAGCACATGCGGCAGTTAGAGTTTCTGGTGATATTGCCGTGGCTGAGTTTTTTTCTATTCTTCCTTCGCGGTTCGTCGCTCTTGACGTAATCGCGAGGGTAAAAACCTCTTCTATGGGAGTTTGGCTCTTGGTGCTGTGACGCCACGGCATCCTCCCCTCCCTGGCTCCTTAATTCCTCGGTCCGAGAAGTGGACGCGCAGTGGCAAAAAGGAAAACATCGTGTAGGGAATTTTACGGCAAGAATTTCGAGAAATAAAAAGTGATACACTCTGATATTGAAGAAAATGAATGTGGCTTATTCAGGAAGAGTGTCTTAGAGACTTTAATTGCTCATGTGTGGTGAATGTAATCCGCAAATTGCGTAGGGAATTTTATGGCAAGAATTTCGAGAAGTAAAAAGTGATACTATCTGATATTGAAGAAAATGAATGTGGCTTATTCAGGAAGAGTGTCTTAGAGACTTTAATTGCTCATGTATGGTGAATGTAATCCGCAAATTGCGTCAAGAAGTTTTGCGTCAGGGAAATCCTCAGATTATTTCAGCAGGTTTCATTCCGGCGAGGTCATTAAAAAAGACGCGATACTGCTGGAGATGAGTGGCATAATGAGGACCTCGAGCTCCGTAAGAAGAACGGGGATTATGAAGCAGAGCAGACTCAGAAAAGCTCTGCTTGTGTCCAGATTTTTCAGCAACTATGTGCAAGAGTTCCATTTTGCGTAAATTTTAGTTGAGCTCCAAATAATTCGTCGTGTATTTTGCTGTATAAAATAAAATTGTTGGTGCTGATCAATGGAGTCGATTATCAAGCGTTGTTCTACTTCTGTTGGTCTCAAGAGAATGTTTTCTTTAGGAACCTATCTTCGGTACCAATTATGATACCAAATTTGTTGATGAATTTTCCGTCCGTTCGTTTATTTATCTATATACTGGTCCAATAACCTGACCTACGCCACAGTTGGGCTTGTTGTGTACAGAGCCACGCTCATTCGAGCAGTTTATTCAGGGCCTCATGATGGACATTAATGAGGTACTGCGACTATTGCAGTGTGTCTCCAATTGCTTCTGTCAATGCAGCAAGGAATCTGAAAGAGATTTAAAAGTTATTATTGATCCAGTCATCAACAACACGAATTGTACAGGATAATACGACGTTTCCTCAAAACTTGTTGGTGCAATTGTCTCGCATTAGTTCCAGGCGCGAAAATACGCTATTTGCCATCAATAATTAGACGTTTTTTAACATTTCGTAATTCGGAACATAGTGTTTGCTACTGTATTATTGGCACCTATGTTTCCTGCCCGTATTGTTGCTACCTCCTCCCTCGCATGTCCGTGTACGAGCTGCTGGTCCTGGCTACAAGCCAGCGATGCTCTGGGACAAACTCGCTAATGAACCGTCGTTTTTACAGCCACCTTGCGCGCCTCAACAAGGCTTGTAGAAGCGCGGTTTATGCGAGTGCTTGGGTACTTCGTCGTTAAATTCTGTGACATTTTTGTTTAACGCAACATACCTGCTTGCTTCTTCTCGAATTGCTTACATTTTTCTTTTTCAGCATTTATTCACCTTTTTGTATTCTTTGTATCGGCGTTGCTGAATATTTCTAATGTTAGCAATGAAATCAGTTAGCGCTAAGAGAGGGTAAGTGTAATCTGAAGTCCTTCTATTTTTCCTCCCAATAAACCCATCAATCCCTATTTTTTTTTCTCAAGCATAACGAACATTTGCTCCACGATCTATTGTGTCCACACCGATATAGATTCGCCATTATTAAATGTTCGCTTAGCTCTGCCACCTTCATTTTTGTTGGTTAACAACGTGACGGTTGACTGTTTATGGACTACCAGCCGTTCCGTGTTTACACAGACTGAAGGCTTGAGTTGGCACACTTCGTGTTGTGGTTACTTCCAATAATATGCAAGGAAGCTGCGTC